ACACACACACACACACACACACACACACACACACACACACACAGCGTTAGTATTATATCATTCTAGCTTTAATGCTAGAATTGTTTGACTTATAACTTATCTTTATTTCCTCTTATAGTTAACTTGTAAAGGAATAGAGTCTCTCAGTGATAGTGTATTTGAAAGCTAAGAATCTTTTTCAGGACTTCTTAGAATGACAGAAAAGTTCTCATTCAAACATCATCTCAGCTTATCTTGTCTAAACCAATACAAGTTGTAACAAAATTAACCTCCTAAAGCAAAGCAAAATTCAGTATTTTGGTCTAAATAACCCAAAATGTGATGTCCACATATGTGAACGCCAGGTCCTAGGAGGTTAAAGCACATTATTGTCTTTATACAAACGGCATATGACAGAAAAGTCAATGATTACCTGATCATTTTGTCTGACCGAAGTGAGGGCCAAGTCTCCTCTGATAGCTGAGTTAGCTGTGTGAAATACGAGTCACTGTGGCACACAAACTTGTTTAACTTCTCAGGTTGTGTTGCTCGTCATCGCTGAGACTTAACGCTCTAGCGACTAAGCTATGCAAAACCCCAGTCAAACAGGCTTAGAAACTGGCTGTGGTCTCTTGTCAACAAGTGGTGACTAGGGAAAAATGTGGGGTTGGCCCATCAAATTAAAATTTGAATTTCCATTTTATTACTGCAGTTCCTGGTAGTTTGGGATTAGTAGTTAGTAGTTAAAGCGTGTATTACTTCTATGCTGTACTATTGTAATTCGTTACGGGCTGTTTTAAAAGCTTCCTAAAAAGCCTTCAGCTGATCCAGAGTGCTGAGGTGTGAGTACTGAAAGGGACTAGAACAAGAGACCATATTTATCCCATATTAGCTTCTCTTTATTGGCTCCCCATTAAATGCAGAATCAAATGTAAAATCCTTCTCCTGACAACATTATTTAAAAGTAGACTGGGAGGGAGAGCTTTTAGGTTCCAGGCTTTTCTTATGTGGAACCAGCTCCCCAGTTTAGATTCAGGAGACAGATACTCTCTCTACTATTAAGACCAGGCTTAAACCTTTCCTTTTTGATAACACTGGAACTGGTATTATGGGTGGATCAGTTAAAAAAATCCCTTAAAACCCTTGTTTAAAATCCCTTTTAACAGGAAGAAATCTTTGGCAGAACCGAAGCATAGTTTAAAATTACATCACTTGAATACACGAATATTCTTGATTCACTAGTAGTAGAAATAGTCTATGAGTTTCACTTTCTCAGAAAAAAGGTTACGTAAATTACAAGGTCACAATCTTAAGCCCACATTACATCTTATTGTTAACATGGATGGTTTGAGACCGTCTGTAACAGCTGAGTTGTCATTCGTGTTATACTAGTCTGCTTGGAGCCTGGCCTCTCGTGATAGGTGTAATATGTTGACCGTCCATGTTGAACATGCTCGCATGCTTATATTCTTGATAGCATAACATGATAATGATAGCCAGAGGGGCCGATGGCGCGATATGGCAGCCTCGCTTCTGTCAGTCTGCCCCAGGGCAGCTGTGGCTACAACCGTAGCTTGCCTCCACCAGTGTGTGAATGTGAGAGTGAATGAATAGTGGTATTGTAAAGCGCTTTGGGTGCCTTGAAAAGTGCTATATAAATCCAATCCATTATTATTATTATTATAAGAGAGAAACTCTGAGAATAGAAGTATAATCAGGAAAGAAATGTCTCAACTGTCCAAAATATCTCTTCATATGATAAAGTCATTAAGACATGGCTTAGAGCCATACCTTTCTGAGTACACCTGATCTCATCCAATCTCAGGAGAAAAGAAAGTTTGGGCCTAGTTAGGATTTCGATGGGAGACTCCCTGAGAATACCAGGTGCTGTTGGTTTGGACTTGAGTAGTAGCATGGGTCGCCTACCAATTGGAAAGGATCCCTGGCTCCTCCAAGTATGCATGTTCAAGTATCCCTGGGAAACATACTAAACCCGAAGTAGCTCCTGATATTTTCACTCAGTGTCTGCGTGTGAAAGTCTGTGGTATGGATATGTTACGCTAAGCAGCTAGGCGTACATAAAAGTGTTGTGTGAAATTATTATTATTATTATTATTATGAGTTATTATGATTATTTGAATGAATTCATTTTAACAGGAAGAAACCTTTGCCCAAAATTGGCCCCTCCCCGAGCCTGCCATGTCTCTTTTTAACAGTTGCCAAGTGCTTACTCATCTTTCCATCCATCCATTCGCTTCCGCTTATCCTTTTCAGGGTCGCGGGGGGTGCTGGAGCCTATCCCAGCTGTCATAGGGCGAGAGGCGGGGTACACCCTGGACAGGTCTTACTCATCTTTATGTTTGCATTTTAGGATGACAATGTAATTATCATCAGCAAGTGCAGCATGTTTGTTTTGTCACTGAAAGGTGATCTTTACAGGACATCTTTGTTTATATATATTTTAAAGTTCACACAAATAACACCGAACCCCAAATACTACTCCGTGAATGTCCACTGTGTGAATGTCTGTTTGAATATTAGTTAAAGTACTTCACAGGTGTGTGAATGTATGTGTGTGTGATTGTGTGACTCTTGCCAAAATTGAGTAGAAAGCCACTATATAAGTACCAGTCCACTGACCATATTTGGCAAAAATTAATATGGGTGTAATTAAAAGTGCATAATGCTTAATAATGTTAAGGACAATGTTTTTTGGAAATGGATAATTTGCAGATTTCCCTTGTATTACTGCAGGGTCTTTACCTCACATCACCTTTGGTATGATTTTGTGCTATATAAATACAATTGCATTGAATAACCAGAAATTTTAGGTATTGACAGTATGGCTGTGAAAAGCGATGAATCCTAGACCTTGATTTTTCATTCACAAACTCAAAATGTGCATTTTTTCCTGTGCTTTTATTTATAGTTAAATACAAGTGCTCCTTTAAAAAATATTAGTATGCTTACATGCTAATGTAATTGTGTCAGGATGTGTCAGGATGTTAAACTCCTTCTGTGCCTGTTAGGATTCTTTACTATAGCCTCTAAGAGCTGCTTTTAAGCTGTGGACTTTCTGGCCTTAATGTTATCTCACTCAAACTGTTGAGCCATAACAGTTGAACCATGACTCAGTGGGACAGCAAAAAATCAATTAGCCCATCAGGTCCAATTGGATTAATTAACCTGAGAGTTGGGATCAATTGAATCATCCATCTCCTGCTGAGGGAGGGTCCCCAAGGCAGCTAAAGACAGGGCACAGACCTTTTCTCTTGGGATTAAAGCCAGAGGTGAGGTTTGACTGGGAAGTCCCCCAGAGGGAATCTCATTATATATGAGCTAAGCAACTGGAATGCTTATCCGGTATTGAGAGAGGAAAGAAGCAGCCCTTTGTCTTTTGTCTCAACTGTCCAAGTGTGACTTCCTTCCAGGCAGTTGTAGCAGTGGTGCCAAAGAGTACATAGCAACTAAGCCTTGTTTACATATACTTCCAAAGGGTGCTTATGGTAGAGGAGATGTCAAATCCTCTGTTTACTATATTAACACTCCTGGTAACTAGATACTTACACATTTACAGTAAGTGCATGCTTATCAGCTGTGACTACCAATCGAGGTATTTAAACTCTCACAGCTTCGTGAATGTGTGTGAACAACAGAATTACACAATTGCTCTGAGCTCAGCTAAACACGGAAAGAAGAATGCAAATATCCAATGCATGTGGTCTGGTTTAAGCAGTGTTTTTTCTAGTTAACTCAACCTCCATGTTGAAAAAGAAGAAACATGAAATGTCTTTAGTTTTAGTCTTTGGTCAAATTAGTCAACCAAGCCTGAGGAGGCTTTGATGCATCTGTTTAGTAAGGCTTGGGAGGTCTGCATGACTGTGAGTCAACAGCCTTTACAAAATGTGATTGTGTTGTAATTTGGTATTACAAATTACTTTGTCAGCTCCTGACAAAGAACACCCTATTATAATGATTAAAAAGGCTAAAACACTGAAACTGATTAAAACAAAGCTAAGCTGAAATGAACAAACCCACTCTGGAAACAATTGAAAACTGATGGAAAATTACAAAACTAGCTAGAGTCAAGTCTGTGTGCCATCTGATTGTGCCAAAGTGTGAATACCTCAGTAAATAGCATGGTGCATTCAGTTAGTGAGTGTCATGTGTGGTTTCTTGTGTAAGCTCTCTTTCCTAAACTACACAGGTGCTATACATTTCTCCTGAAATCATGTGTGTAAGCAATTATACATGAAACAGAAGAAAAATATTATTATTTTTATTATTATTATTATTTTTAAAAATCAGAATAACATAACATAACAATAAACATAAATATAAATACAACTGAAACATGACATTTAAAGTGTCACACATTATATCACTACTGCGTAGAGATCACCTTAAATTACCAAAAGTGACATCAAATATTAGCTTGGCAGCTGTGGCTTAAGCTTTAGAGTACCCATCTGTTAATTGCAAGGTTAGTGGTTTAATTCCGTCCCAGCTTCTCCAGATGGCAAATTAATATTCTGATAATATTCTGCAACCCCTCCGCTTCTGAAGTGAACCGTGCTTTTGCCTAATATGAGAGAGTTTGGGCTGTCTGTGTCTAATTAGCGAGCTGCTGGAAAACTCTTTTGTAATAAGCAGAAGACTTCATTTCAAACTAGTAACTGATGTCCTTGCAGCTTGCCACCATATGTGTAAATGATGCTTTTATAAACACTCTGCGCCATGGGTTTAGATGAAAATGTATTAGGTGTAGCCATCTGTTTCCGAACCTCAGGGTGAGCGCAGTTGTTTTTGGGGCTCTTTATTGTTGAGGTAAATAAAACATTTATTTTGGGAGTATTTTGTAAGTGACCGATTTGTGCCAAGGAAAGGATACTCCTGTTTGCGCTTTAGCATGAGTCAGCACTTCCTTTCCTTGTTATCTTTTGTGGTGGTAGAACTGGCAGAACTTGACACAACGGAAGCAACTCTTCCCCTTCAAACGGTGGACTCATGAGACACTGGTAATGTAAAACTCAAAAATGAAAACTAATGAGAGTCTCATATTCATGTACAGCAAAGAAAATAACAGGCTTACAGCGTTTATCAAACCGCCGCATTCAATATTTGTACTTGTGAAATATTTGAATCAGCTGCATTCAATCGGCTGCACTTAAATACACAAGAGTAATTCAATATGCATGTTTTTAATGAGACACAATGCTTCAAATCTATTGGCCCTCTCATTGACCCCCTGATGGCTTTCCAATGTGTGACTGACAAAGAGAAACATAATGAATTTATTTGACCTTTGATGATCCTTTGAAGTAAAGTCAGAAAGGGGTAAAGCGGTGCCATGATGTCTCTGACAAAGTGATATTGTTCCTAATGGGCTTCTTTTGTTTGTTCTTTTCTCTGCAGGTGTACCTTATCAATGTTACTTACTCAGACTCCACTTCCCATGTCATCTACAGAAGGTACAGCAAATTCTTTGACCTACAGGTACGTTACACTGCAACGACTACAAAATAATTTTACAGATTTAATTCATAGTTGCACAGGAAGTTGCCCAAAAGCTCAATGTTTTGTATTAAGAATGGTTCTAATATGTCTTATGTGTTGTTGTATTGCAACATTAAACTCCGCAAGGCCAGTTTGACCTTTCAGTCAATGTCTTTCTGTTCAGCTCCTGTTTAGTGAAAGGTCTTATTTAAGGCGACTGCATGGAAATAGGAAAATAGGGGAAATCCAGTCACCAGATGCAGGAAAAAACATGACCTCAGAATGCCGAA